GGGGGGGGGGGGGATGAAAATATGATTAAAGGGTATAACTGGTCAGAACTAGTCCCTAAAGTCCCAAAATTGAGTTGCAAAGATATATGGATTACAAAGTCGTAATTTGTGGAATAACCTTAATTCCTTTGGGATTAGATTTATTTATCCTTCCTTAAAAAAATTTTAATGTTAAAATAAGGGGAAAAAAAAAAGGGAACTGTTATTTAGATTCCACTTAGTATCTTTGTCTTTTTAAAGAAATTTTTTTGGGGTGGGGGGATGTGTAAAGATTTTTTTTGGGGTGGGGGGATGTGTAAATAAATTTGATTTAACACCCCTGATGCTTCAGGTTTGCTAAGAGAAAGATGGAATTTCATATTGATCTTAGATATAGGAGAGTAGCAGGAAATATTGGTCTTTCATTATTCCCTTATTCATTTTTAAATATGAATTATTTTTGATTTGAGAAAGCTTGTCTCTAGATTTTGAGGAATGACACAGCTATTTTGAATGCAGTTCTTCTTTTACATCTTGCTTAAAGCAGCCCTGCAGTCTACATGTACATTAATTGCATCTATCTATCTATCTATCTATCTATCTATCTATCTATCTATCTATCTATCTATCTATCTATCTATCTATCTATCTATCTATCTATCTATCAATCAATCAATCAATCTATGTCTGTCCGTGTGTCTGTCTGTCTATATATCTGATACTAGGATTGCATAAGCCTAGTTATTCCATTATCAAAGTTAGAATGATGTTTCCTCCAATAGTTTTAACAGGATTTTATACATTCAACATAAAACCTCTACCATCCTGGTAACAGCCATCTCTTATACCATAATGTTCATCCTGCCAATCCTCTGCTCTACCCTCCAGTACCGATCCATACCCTGATATCCAATCTAACCATCCTCTGCTCTACCCTCCTATACCGATCCATACCCTGATATCCAATCTAACCATCCTTTGCTCTAGCCTCCAGTACCGATCCATATCCTGATATCCAATCTAACCCTCCTCTGCTCTAGCCTTCAGTACCGATCCATACCTTGATATCCAATCTAACCCTCCTCTGCTCTAGCCTTCAGTACCGATCCATACCCTGATATCCAATCTAACCATCCTTTGCTCTAGCCTCCAGTACCGATCCATACCCTGATATCCAATCTAACCATCCTATGCTCTAGCCTTCAGTACCGATCCATACCCTGATATCCAATCTAACCATCCTATGCTCTAGCCTTCAGTACCGATCCATACCCAGATATCCAATCTAACCATCCTCTGCTCTAGCCTTCAGTACCGATCCCTACCCTGATATCCAATCTAACCATCCTTTGCTCTAGCCTCCAGTACCGATCCATACCCTGATATCCAATCTAACCATCCTCTGCTCTAGCCTCCAGTACCGATCCATACCCTGATATCCAATCCAACCATCCTCTGCTCTAACCTCCAGTATCAATCCATACCCTGATATCCAATCTAACCATTCTCTGCTCTAACCTTCAGTATCGATCCATACCCTAATATCCATACTGCTAATCCTCTGCTCTGATCTCTAGTACCAATTCTATACCTTGATATCCACTATCCAACCATCAAATCTGACATCCTGATCTATCCCATAAATGCTAAATGCTAAATGCTAGATTCCCTAGATAGAAGATATCCAGTTCTAAAACATTGTTAATTTCAACGTTTCTATTGATTCTGTAGTTCTAAATTCATCATATGATGGAACCCTCCCAAAATTCAAACCTTTCTTGTAAATATACAATTTAATCAATTTATTGTTTGCTTTCTAAATACAGCAATTTGTTTCACATATATCCAGTCTTAAGAAATATGTCCGGATTCATGAAATATGTCCAGATTTATGAAATATGTCCGGATTTATGAAATATGTCCGGATTTATGAATTATATCCAGATTTATGAAATATGTCCGGATTTATGAAATATGTCCGGATTTATGAAAAATGTCCAGATTTATGAAATATGTCCGGATTTATGAATTATGTCCAGATTTATGAAATATGTCCAGATTTATGAAATCTGTCCAGATTTGTGAAAAATATCAGATTTAGAACAAAATATATCGTTGGAAAGGAAATACATTCAGAAAGCTAGATTATAATATCCTACCCTGAGTACTGAATGTAAACACTATAGACAAGAATAAATAAATATCCATTTTCTACACTGAAGAACCTGGCCAGGTTAGTACATTTTCCTCTTAAGTTCTTTTATTTTGTTAATTTATCAGTAAAAATTTACCTCCATAATGCCGAAATTATACTAAATGAAGCAATACTTACTAATGCTTACTCCCCCCCCCCCTCTCCACTTTCGTCTCCATTTACAAAGGGCAAAGACAACTTTTTTCATTTCGTAGAATCTACCCCGAAAACCGCTGTCAATGTGAATCTTTAAAGGGTTATTTTGATTATTATTATTATACCAAGTATACGTTTCCAATTTATATTTTCTTGGTAAACTTCTCTTTGAGATTTGTTTAATATGATATATATATATTATTAAGCTATTCCTACTCTGAGATCTTGTGGTTCTCGAGATGAGATATATATCTACACTGGGTTCTGTAGTTCCCAAGATAAAATATATATTCCTACTCTGAGATCTTGTAGTTCTGAAGATGAGATATATATTCCTATTTTGGGTTCTTGAGTTCTCAAGATGATATATTTATTCCTACTCTGGGTTCTTGAGTTCTCAAGATGATATATCTATTCCTACTCTGTGTTCTTGAGTTCTCAAGATGATATATTTATTCCTACTCTGGGTTCTTGAGTTCTTAAGATGATAAATTTATTCTACTCTGGGTTCTTGTAGTTCTCAAGATAAAATATAGATTCCTACTTTGGGTTCTTGTAGTTCTCAAGATGATACATATATATATTCCTACTTGAAGTCTTCAAGATGAAATATTTATTCCTCTAGTTCCTTCTTGTTCAGGAGTTGAACTAAGTTTTACTGAATATTGGAATTACTGGTGCAGTATCGTTAGGATAACACTTACCCTGTCTTCTCAACTCTTAATAGGATAGAACCTTGCCTTGCCTCCCCACCCCCTCAAATATACAGTGCCTCTTTTACCATATCCAATATACCATATCCAGTGCCTCTTTAAACCAAACCCCCTTAGTCTCCGCTATAATAGAGTAAACAATCTCTAGTAAACCATGTTAACCATCTTTGTCACGTCTTCCATCTTTAAGAGTAAATTATCGAGTTTTCTACGTTTGGTACATACACAACAACGACCAATTATTTTCGTCATTTATTTTAAAATAATTCATTTCTCCCCTGCTTTAACCTTCGACTTTTTCCCACAGTTTCCCTCATTTTTTGTCAACCCCNTCATTGAGCTAAAATGATGCGGGAAACTAGGTGAACAGCTGCTTTTCAAACCTTGTGAGTATATTGTAAACTAAAGCGGAATGTTAATACCGCGCTCAATTGAAAACAGAACTCAAAAAGAGAGCTTTTGCCTCTCCAGTACTTGAGATATGAGTAGCTGGTGGAGCAGAAACCAACCTTGTTCGGTTCAGCTCACTACTTTGGCTCATGGTGGGTAACAGCTGTGCAGAGAAGATTTTAAATTCAAATTGTTAAGATTATGTTAAGATGATAGGTTAGGAAATTTGTATTTTGAAAAATTTAGAAAACTTGAAAATAAAAACATTGTTCGATATATAAGAAGTGCACAAAATATGCGTCAAAAGTTACAAAGTAACGATATTGAAACAAACTAAATACTTTCTACCCAACCTCCATAAGTTTAGTAACGTTCAGTAGGAGCAAGAACTAATTCAAATTAATGCAAGTGCAAGGACATATGTTTATCCTGACTGTCAAGCTAGAAATATAGCATCTTTTTTTAATGAATCCTGATAATGTATAATTTGATAATAACTAAAATGAATCATGATATGAATTCTATCTGTATCTGTTGATTTGAACAAACAAATGTTCATTTAAACAGTAATGTTCCTGACTACAATGTATAGTTAGGAACAGTCTTGTTTATGTATATTACCTTAGGTAAGGGTTAGTTCTGACCTATCTAAGATTCCCCGGTGACAGGATGGAATGAGAAAGTTCTGACAGTTTTTATTCCTCCTGATGCTCTGACTAGGACTAGATTTAGGTATTCAGGGAGACTGAATTCAGGGAGACTGAAATAATAAGCTTCTTATCAACCCCTGAAAGCTCCTATCTACCCCTGAAAGCTCCTATCTACCCCTAAAAGCTCCTATCTACCCCTGAAAGCTCCTATCCACCCCTGAAAGCTCCTATATATCTACCCCTGAAAGCTCCTATCTACCCCTGAAAGCTCCTTTCTACCCCAGAAAGCTCCTGTCTACCCCTGAAAGCTCCAATTTACCCCTAAAAGTGCCCATTTACCCCTGAGAGCTCCTAAAGATCCTAAACAACCGGAAAGCTCCTAACTACCCCTGAAAGCTCCTTTCTATTCCTGAAAGCTCATATCTACCCCTAAGGCTCAT